ACTAAGTCCCAATTCGTGAACTTTCTTAGAAAGAAAATGCATTTAGTTCATCTTCTGACCCAAAGCTCTATCAGCAATACTAAACTAAATATTTTTGACATCAATGATCCCAAAAACGGGTACCTGCTAACTTTTACTAGGCTGCATTACCTCTCACTCGAATAAGTACGTATTCCTCCCATCCATGAAACAAAATTAAGTTCTTGCTATTTAATAGTTCCATATACCAAAAATTCTTCCAGTCACATCAAGCTGCAGTGCGTGTACCATCCATGCTATCTAGTGTAGGTGAGACTTCAATAGAAAGTGAGCAAGCAGAGGAAGGTTTCTCTGACTCTGATAGCTTTCTAACAACCCGGTGAGGTTCAAATCAGTCTTAACAAATCTCATGTACACTGTGTGAGAAAATGCACACAACTGCAAGACTCAGCATGTTTGAAACCATTTTATCAGTGTCCCTTAAACTAATGTATTATTGAAATAACCACTAAGGTCAAATTCCATATTCTGCTGTAGGAAGTCCCTGCATTTTCAGAAAATCCCCCTTGAACAAAATCAGTCAAAAAATTCATCAGGCATTTAAAATGTTTATTGTATGCCAAACAAATTCACAGATAAAGTTGGTTCATAGTGTTTTCTCTGCAATACATCTCCTTCAACAAATCAATCAACACCAAAGTCATCAGAAATCTACATTCTTTCTCCAAGGGTTTTATAGCTATTTCTGCTTTTGAACAAGAATAAAATGCTTGACAGGTATTTCCAAACTCCAAGAGGATAGAATTTGACATATATCCAAAATAAATGACAGCAATAGAGGAAGTCCCTAGCTGAACATACCCACCACCTACACTTACATTAGAAGCAAATGCATATAAATGCTCATAAATATGATCATAATTACACTGTCATCATTTTAAGGTGAAACTACTGAACTTATGTAAACAAGGTTAGAGTGTTCCTGTCAAACATTCCCATATGTTTACATAATGAAATAATGTCTCATTCCTCCAATTCAGAAATCAAAAACATTATTTATGGAATAATAATTTTTAAGAGAGAACAAGCAATTAAGTCCAAGATCATGATGTCTTGCGCTTCCTGAAGTTTCTCATGTAACTGGAAGTGCCAATTACAATTGATTTTTCTATTATTTCAGCCTTGATGCTTTCGGCCAAGTGACAGTGAGAAGTGTTAATGGGACTTCAAAATATTAACTCTCAAGTGTTACCAATAACTTATACACTACACTGCCAGTTTCTCACTTCTAATAATAGCTATTCTCCTAATGTAAGTTCAAATGAAAACATGCTTTGTCATCTTTGTTAGGGCGGAGATAAAGGAACAAACACATTTAAACCAGAGTTGATTCCCCGAGAGCGCTACCAACATATGAGCTCTTCCAGCTATCTAGCAGACAAGCTGTTACTATTTTTACTGAACTAAGGAAATTTACACTTTTCCTTTACCACACTGTTTTGGGGAATTGTACAGACTGACATTTTAGAACTGCTGCACAACTCTGTATTCAACCTAAGCAGTTTGTGGCCACCTAAATAAGAACAGTTCTGAGAATTTAAACATTATCATCCCCTAATAGTTAACAAAACATTTAAAAACAAATATTAGGAACACGTAGCAGCCATTCTTTTTATAATGTTAGCTTTCCCAACTTTACCATTCCTGAACTAATTTTATCTGAGGCCCCACAGAATTCAGTTATCAAAATAGTTGTCATAACAACAATTAGGGACTGGGAAGATTTCATTTACAGAACAAAAAGAAAGAGGAAGACAGGATTTTTACCTCCCAAAGGTTTGCAACTGATCCTCCAGATAGATATTGTGTCACAAACCACAGGCACTCCAACACAAAAGTTTCACAGAAGGACAGAAAACTAATTTAATTCTGTGTCCTGGTTAATTGTCTGCACACTTCAAATTGCCCCTGCTAGCAAATCATAGTTCAGCTACAAAAGCATTAGAGCAGCCTTCCACAGCTATTTATCAGAGAACAACAAAGTAACAATGTTTTAGTACAGTTCACTGCATGCTTCCTCTTTCAGGGCTGGAGGAACATATACATTACAGTATGCTACTGTTTCAATAAGGCTAATTCATTATTATTCTGGAGTAAATCAAAACAAGCTGCTGGGTCAATCTTTATTGTTGTAAGTCAGACTAATTTGCTGTTTTCCTTGAAAACATTTCTCAGGGCTTAGCAGCTATCAAAGTTCAACAAGAGTAAGTTTGCTCTAGAGCTTTTATGTATAAAATACAGTTTAACTGAAAGAAAATGTACTACTTGCTGCTGGTGAGTTATCCGTCAGGCTGCAGTAACAAGAAATACCACCATCTCAGAGTTCATTTTGAAGGGCTTATTTTCAGTTGTAGACAAGGAAGGAAAAACTAAGTTTTCATACTCGGTCAAATTTCAAAAGCTCCTCAACTGTCACTAGACAGTGACTACAACACAGTACTCGCTTGCTAAGAATTAAACTAAATGCTGACAAACTCAGAAGGATGTAATTGCCAGTTTAATAAGTAGTTGGAGAAGGAAAATGCTCCTCATTTTTTTTTCTAAAGCTTATACTGAGGCAATACTGACTGCCACTTGGTAGCAAGTTTCTATTTTTAATTTTAATACATCTTGTGAACTAAGTATCATTGAAATCCAATTTAATGTTTTTCCCAGTCTGAATTTAAGGTAACATTAACCAGCACCAGTCAGTATTGTTGAACACCAGCTGCCATGCTGTGGTGAGAGCAGGACAGCTGTCACTGCACAGAAGTCAAGATTGGTGAAGACAGCTGTGAAGATACAAGAGTTGGACGAGGGCAACTCGTGTCCATCCTGACTTCAAAGAAAACTGAGTGCTGAAGTTGGAAGTCACATGGAAACAAGATTCAGCGGGTCTTGAAAAGCAAAGAAGACATCTGATGAACAAACAAGAAGGAAACAAGTGAAAAGTCACAAGGGTCAACACTCCAGCCAACTGGAGAAGCAGCCACTGCAGAAGCACTCTGAACGCCACAGAAAGAATGTATTTAATATGACTGCAGAATTGAGTTCCAGTGGCCAAGATGAAAAACAGCGGAGGAGTGGTCTTCAGGTAGGTAAATAAATATATTTGTCTAGCACTCAGCAGTGTGATCTCTGATGCAACTGAAATAAGATGTACATAAGGGGAAAAAAATGAAAACAAAAATAAAAAATAAAACCCAGTACTTTTTCTGGACAGGAACTGCGATCTTCCCCTGAAATTACTGATTATATCCTAGTTGTATCAGAACTGGACTGAATCTGCTGGAGTCTGCATATGTTGAAACAGTCCAAGGATGTAGGAAATTGATTCTGAGAAACTACATTACATTTTTACTGTGTGATAAGAGTACACGTAGAACCAGATTCTGCCTCTTCTTCAGGCTCAACAACGCAGACTTAATATTTTTTTTCCTAAATATTTACTTTATAAAACTGTCATTGACCGCAGGATTTTCTTCCCAAGTTCCTAGTGAAGAAATGAAAAAGTGGAAAAGAAATGAGCCTGGTCACTTTAAGCAGCAAAGTCCACAAATTAGGTTTTCTGATATTTTACTGCGTATTGCTTTTAAATAACTAGATAGAGAGAGGAAAAAATAAAAATAAAAAAGACTTAATGGCTGTCCAGTGTTCCTCCTTCCTGAAGTTAGCAGCTTAGTGTCTCTATTTTCAGAGATACTGCATTCAGATATTCAAATTTATCTGGCCTCAAATCACACACAGTTCTCACAATTGTGTTACCTGACAGCCAACCATATACTCCACCTAATTTCTCACTGATAAAGTGATTCAAAAAAAAAAAAAAAAAAATTTTAAGAATTCACAGAATACCGTATATGCATTAGTAGGCTTAAAGCAATCTGCACTTTCCTGCAAAGTGTGAAACAGTTTGAAGGCATGTACACAATTTTCACAAGATGATTTTGCTTCCAAGTCACAATTGGAACAGCCAAAAAAAAGCATGATGAGAATGATTCCTTCCAGTTCATACGTCAGAAGGTTTTTCTTGTTCATTTTTAAATTGCCAACACTGCTGTTGCCACTGCACAGCTGTCTGGTTGTTTAAAGAACTCCTCCCCACAACTGTCGTTCTGGCCAATCAAAGCCTGCAACTTTGCTGGACACCCCAAAATTTTAAAACTTTGTCTTCTGGGCAGATACCAGGCATGGAATGCTTCATCTCAAAGCATCACATTTACAATGAGTTTATGGAAGCTAGAAGGACACCAGAATCTAGTCTTCCAAATAGACACCAAAGTTATTTACCACTGGTTATTATGTGCATAAGCTCAAGCTTTTATCTCTTAAAGTCAATGGCTGAAATATCATCCGTGCTGCTATACCAGTGCCATTTGTCAAGGCACACACAGACATCACCAAACAGAACCAACAGTCGAATGAGGCAATGACCCAGAACATTCTATGCTACCCTTAAAATAATCTAAATTAGCACTGCTAATGCATGACTCCTATCAACACTTCAAGCAGATCATTAATGCTGACCACTCAATAAACATCCTGTGTGCAAAAATAAGTCCTGTATTTTTACATGTTTAACTCATTCAGCAAATTTTATCCTCCTGGGGGAATCTCAGAGCTCAGCACACTGCAGAATAACTAGTCTAATGCTCTGAAACTCTGATGCAAATTAGAAGTGTCAGTATACCTTTTTAGTTGTCATTGAGGAAAGCAAGGCTGAATTTCTCAAGTGCCAAAATGCAAGTCTTCATCCCTTAAGACTCTTAGGGCTTAAGAGAATTCAACTTTGGACAAATAACCTTCAGTGCTGGATAAAATGATAAACTGAAAACACGTAATGCAGGTAACGTAATCACCATGTCTGCGAAGTGTCTGTATGCCAGGCACCTTGTTGACACATTAAAAATAGAAAATCAATCAGTCTGTGTAGACAAAACTAAGTACAGGGGAAAGTCCCATCTACCGCAGCTGACACCACACAAGCTTCCCCCGACCACTTTCCAACAGTCAGCCTCTCTCAATCCACACCGACCCTCAGACACACATTTGACTCATGCCCTCGGGTCAGTCCCACTGTTTTAGGGCTGACCCCCTCAGGGACATGCAACTCACTTCTATAAATGCCTATGCCCAGCAGAGGCAAAACTGCTTGGCTTAAGCCCTTTAAGAAGAAAGAAAACACTAAGCAAAGCCACTGACGACGGGGAGATCAGAAGGGCTTCGAAGCGCTTTGCCCCACGCTCTCTCGGCCGGGGGCTGAAGCAGGAACCGGCAGCCGGGCACACCCCCATTGCGAGGCCTAGGCAGGCCTCTCGCCCAGGTATCTCGCCGAACTGCCGCCCGCCGCGGAGGAGCGGCCCCGCCGCCTCGTACTGGGAGGGCCCGCCCCGACCCGGCCTCTTGGTGCCGCCGCGCGGAGTGAGCACGGAGAGCCGGGTGCACTGCAAGAGCGCTCCCCTCCCGCCCTGCCTCGCCCTGGAGGCTCCGGGTCGGAGGAGGCGCAGGGCGATAACGGGGGCCCCGCGCTGCCCCTTGCACGGCTGCGGGGCGTGCTGCCTGCTACCGACGCAGCTCGGAGGCCCCGGCTGAGGGCAGACCCTCCTCCTGCAGGGCTCCGGCGCAGGTCCTCTCGCCCGGCCGGGCGACGCGCCCCTCCCACCCCTCCGCAGCCCACCGGCCTCAGCAGCATTCTTACCTCTGCTAACATTATTACCCCGCTGCGGCGTCTCCGCGGCTCTAACCCCGCAGCATGGTGAAGCCCGGCGGCGGCGCGGAAAACTCCCCCTACTCGGCGGGGAGGGGAGGGGAGGCGAGGCGAGCTCCGCCGGTCCCCGGCCACCTCCCTCAGCGGCTGCCCACCGCCCCCAGCCCCGCAGCCGCCCTGGCAGCTCGGTCCGGACGGGCCGCCATCTTGGGAGAGCTACGTGCGCCGCCGCCGCCGCTCCCCGCCCGCCCATTGGGGCCGCGGGCTCCGGGGCCGCCCCTACCGGGGCCGGATCCATCCTCTCCCCGCCCCGGCACGGCCCTTTGCTACTCTTGGTGCTGCGCTGCCTACCTGAGCTGGGGCGGTCATGACCGCCTTCGGACTTCTGCCAAGGCCCGGCCCTGATGAATTCGGGCCGGGAGGGCTCGGGTGCCAAAGCCGGGCCTTGGTTACAGCGGCCTGAACTTCTGTGCGTGCCGAAGGGAGAAGTTGAAGGCCGCAGAACTTGAGGCGTTGTTTTCCAAGGCAGCTTTTTGCTTCGTCTCTGCCGAGGCACGGCTTTTGTTTTTGTTTTTGTTTTTGTTTTTTCTTTTTCTTCCACTGAGCTCGATACAGCAGTTTTGCGTATGTTCATTTAAGTATTTTCTTACATTTTTGACTAAGTTTTGACTAAGCAGCATGCCCGATGCACCAATAAGATGTACAGCATCTTTTCCTGCTCAGGCTGTTTAGAAAGAGACATCTGAATGTTTACTACCTATGTTCTTGTTAAGACACAAATTGTGGAACACACCTCAGAAGCTGAGCCCGGGTAGCACTGGCCCATCCCTCTCTTGTGCCAGCACTCTCCATAAGCCCTGTGTTTGAAAGCATTTGCGGATTTCTGTGTGAAGTTTGTTTCTTCTCCTTTAAACATTGTTCTTTTGGTGTTCTTGTTTGCTTAACTAGGCTTCAGAGTTACTAAGTTAACCTTAGGCACCTTACTTTGATAGGACTAGAACCAAGATACATTTCTTTCCTGCTCTGCCAATACCAGAAAACGCAAAGGAAAAAATAATGTTTAACACTGAAGATGAAATAAATGCAAAAATACTACTATGATGTGGAAAAAAAACCAGCAACTTTATATTCTCACCAAAATGCTCTTTTGCTTCTTGCAAAGCTGCAAGAAGAGGGAGGGAGGATGCTCTTGTGGCTGCAGGGCTTTGTAGAAGTTCTCTAATTTCCCTGGGGATTTTTAAATACTTGGCAGTTCAAGGTTGCCCACTTCTTACTTTTATTCATGAGAATTACCAAGTTTCAGTTTTACTCATGCGACTGTTTTTTCCCTGTCGGAGACTCAGCTGTTAGTCATGTGAACTGCACTTTCCAAAAAAAGTAGACTCTTGATATTCGCAGTGGTTTATCTGCTTTTTCTAAAAAAAATAAAATGAAATTATGAAAAATATCTTGTTTTTAAAGTATCTTGTGAGCTATGTATTTTTGAAATACTTTTGTACATTTGAATGCTTGCTCTTAGCATTACTATTTTCTTCAAGTGTATTGCCAAAAGAAAATCCAAATTTCACAGAACACTATTTTCAACAATAAGATTAACAATAACAGAACAATGCAGTGGCCTGCATGTAGTATTTACCATCTTAACTTACCGTCTTGGTAAATTGAAAGTTGTTCGGAAACATTGATGAATGGGAACTGTGAAATGCCTGCCATATTGTTTTGGACCCCTAACATTTATTTATACACAGAAATAAAGCCTGCTATGGATGCTTGTTTGGAAAGCACACTATGGTTCCCTATGCATGGCTTTCGTCACACTGTAATTCAGCCAAAAGACACTGTATGCTTAGCTAGAGGAAACCCTGAAGGAATCCATAATATAGCTCAGTAAATCATCAGTTGTGTAATTATGCAAAAACACATACCTAGGCATGAGTAGAATCAAAATATTTTAAACATCTACCATTTGCCATGTCACTTAGTCTTCAATGCACTCTCTGGACAAGGAACAGTGGTAATATAAATTACCCAGTTTATAATATGAAAGAAGTAAGCAGGATGTGGAAGTCTCATGATTTTCATGAATTTAAATAAATGATAACTTTTCTGTAGTTGAACTAAGATGATGGTATAGCTAAAAAAAGTGTCAGTTGGCACAGAATTTCTTTACCTTGTGGTTTCAAGCACACTGGGTGAGGTATTCAAAAGGAGCATAATCCCCTTCTAAAACTTAAAACTGCAAAACTGGGTGTATCCCAAGTGTGATAGATGCAAGAAGAGAATATTTTACAAACCTCACGAAAATTTTGTTGTTACAGGAAGCACCTGCCTATCTTATCTTACTGGAATGAACCTATTAATAGTGGCACTGAAAACTGTTGACTGTTTTCACAGTTGTTAACATAACCTCAGTATTGTTGCAAAATAGTTATGAATGGTGTAATACATTATTTTAATTTTAGGTGAGTACCATTTTACTTGAAAAGTGAAAGGTGGTGTAATTCTAACAGCAGGAATAAAGCTATGAAAAAAGGACAGAACCATGCAAATTAGACTCAAGGCAGAAGAGAAAACAGCATCATAAAGGAGAATTGACATGTGATGGCAGCTTGGAAAGAGTTAAAATGGACTTCTTGATGTGACAGTCTGCTGGGAGCAGCACAAAGGAGCAAGGGAAAAGAAATTCTCCATTGCTGAGGAATTAACAGTTACATTGTCTATTCCCATTCCTGGAATAAACTGGAAAAATGTAAGTACAAATTCTTTTCCTTCTTGGGAGGAGGATGTATTTCTAAATTAGTGTGAGTAGGTCTGGAAACAAGGCTTTAGTGGTGATTGACAGGATTACCAGTAGTACTTGGTAGGGCAGGAACATTTGAACATCTTCTGTTTTCCTGAGACTATCTTCAAGTGACAATAATGCTATTAAACCTGATGAGTCATCCATATGGAGCCATGTTCCCTATGTTTTATTCTTCTGCATTCTTTACAGATACATCATGGGATTGACCTTGTAATGAAATTGCCTACCTATCAGAAGCTTTGTAGCCACATTAGCACTGTGCTTATTCAGGCAGAGCACTGTGCTCATTATTTTTATTGTCGCTTCCACAAACTTGCACACACTCTGCAAAAAAATTGTGTTACAGCAAGTATATATATCTTTAATCAAATACAGACCTGGCAGAAAGCTTTTGCAACTAGTCATTCCTTAAAGTACTTGGAGATATTTATTTTTTTTCTCATAGAGCTATAAGTGCTAAATTCAAGGAAGGAGTCAGAGACAGTAGCACCGTAAGGCAGATGACTACAAGTAAGACAGCTCCTACCTGTTACCAAATTTCTTGGTGTTCTTTACAATGATTACAGTTTTCACTGACTATAAACAAGGTTATTTGTCTTACCAGTCTGGCTCTACATTTTGAAATCCTGCTGCAAAGACTGGAAACTGCATGCATATCTACTGAAACTATGAGTGAATGCAGTATTATGAACAAAAATAGATTAGGAGGAGATTGGGATAACACTGCCAGGCTCACCAGCTAGAAGTTTATAAAAATTTTTGTAAAGTGCAACAGTGAGTACTCTATGTTGCAAGGCAGTCTCAGAGACAAAAATATTGTGAGGGGGTGGATGCAACACACACAGAAGAAGGGGCACAGGCAAGATTTAGCAGAAAAAGAGCAACTCTGCTGACTAGCAAAGAAACACAGAAGAACACAGATTATTTTCTAGTACTGAAAGGAGGGCAGTCCCAAACCTAAATAACTATCAGCTCACTGTCTAATGAAAAATGAAATCAATGACCTAATTGGCATTAAGATACCCTCTGAAAAAAGGAGCAACCTGCATTTGAAGGGCAAAGAATAGGTCCTCTTGGCTTATATCAGAAGACAAATGAAGACTAAGGAAGAAAGAAACAACAGCCAGCAATGGGGGAGGAACAGACTGAATGAACAGAGCAATTTTGCTTTCCAAGCAGGTCCTTTAGAATAGTTACAAGACTGTATCCAAGTTCATCAGCAAGTCTAATGTTTCACGTCTTTTGCTAAAGTCTGTAATAGGTCTTTATAGCATAGTTTCTGTATGCTATAAATTAGTTTTCATTGTCCACAATCAACTGATGTAAACCAAAATTTAGCTTCTGTTCTCTTGTTGTTTAAGCTGCTCTTAGTTTAGCCTGGCAGTGTGGCTGGAGTTTCTTAGGGTTTTTTATTGGTTTGGGATTGTTTTCTTGAGGGGTAAGAAGGTGAAAGAGATCTGAGGAATGTATAGTCATTAAATGCTTCAAGTGTTCAGCTGCATTGTTTAAAAGCAATTCTGTATCTTTGTGTTTGAATTCTATTGCATTTCAAGTAGGATCAGATGACCTCAAAAGTCTAGGTGACAGCATAATTGAAAGGGGAACTTGGTGTCTTTTATGCCTAACATTTGAATGTTCTGTTATTTTAGGACATTGCCTATTCTATACTCTTTGATGTGAGCTGCCAGAAGGTTTGGTTCTGGTCAGAATCACAGTTTAACATTTAGTTAAAGGTCTCATTCACTTCCTAATTTCTCAGCATTTGCTTAGGTATAGCACAGACAGAAAATGCAAGGGTCAACCTATACAATATTATTTGAATACTGATCATTAGACAGACAATTACTAAAAAAGTATTACGTCCAATTCCTGCTTCATCCTTTGCAGTACGGATGCAATATCTACCTATTGTTCAGGTTCTCAGAATTGTTTATGGGAGCCTGAAATTTCTTTTAAGATTTTTACTAGTCTATCATTCTCCACTGTAGGGAACTTTCTGCGATTCAAAAAGCTGTCTCCAGCTGGATCAGACACTGTTTGCCTTAGCTGTTTAATCCTAATTGGCTAAGCAATTGTTTGAATAAAGTATAGTTCTTAATACAAAAGAAACAGTCTCAAATTATACTGGTGTCTCTTTCAGAAGTCTATACTGAAATGACTAGTGTCATCTCAGAATTGTAATATAGAAGTTAGTCATCAGCTTCTTAGCTTCTGGCCATTGATGTTCTGTGGCAATAACACACACAAATAAATGGTTTCCGATGCTGTTTGCACACTGCTGCTATGGAGAGAAGGAAGAAACAGCTCTTTTTAGAAAAGCCACCTTAATTCATAAAATTCTTTTGGAAGCAACCTGTCCATATCTCTGTCTGAATGATACACTAATTCAAGTATAAAACTGGTAACTGAATACTGATTCTGCAATATGGTAAACAATCCCATTCCTTCATTTTAGTGGGTCAGAAGTCATGAGAGCATATGTCCATGTGTTGAAGATATTTCTGTTGCTCTTTGAAGGATTTGCTGTTACCCCTGTTTGACCTATGTCAGCAACTACTTATTGTGAAAGAGTTTATTAAATGGCTTCTCTTTTGACGTTTGAACTCCTGAATGTGTCTGACAGGTAAATCAGTTTAAATGAAGGGCCCACAGGTCTGAAAAGTAGCTACTCTTGTTATCTTCTTGAGCATACAATATGGACATTTTCAGAACATACTGCAAACAGAATTTGTATACACGAGTTTTAGCTTTTTTTCCAGTGCTGAAGACTCAGTTTACGTTTCTGTCAGAAGAATTTGTATGCAGCATTATATTATGTTTATCTTTCCAGGCATTTATGTTCATGTCACGATCAGTTGGAGTTTGGGCCTGAATTTTCAGGTAATGTACTGCTTTAAACATGATTAAAGTGGTACTGATTCTGTGATAAAATGTTATAGGGATATTGAACTTTGCCAATAGTTCAAGGCCAAGATGAAGATATTCAGCAGAATGGAAAATACAAAATGAGTTATATCTAATACACTTAGATGGAAACTACCCACTTAATAACATGACAACTATTGAATGAAAACCAAATAGGAAGCAAAACAATTCACTATGCAGTACAAAAATCAGCTCTGTTTACTTAATGTTTTTGTGCTGCAAAATTGGGATTGACCGATCTCCTTTGCATAAAACTAGATGAAGATCATCCTGATAATTCTGAGGAATCTGACTGTGTGCAGTTCACAGATGATGTGAGAGGTTCTTTAATTAGGAAATGTATTTAAAAACCAAGGGCTGGGGGGATAAATATTCTTGTAATTCAACGCAGTATCTAAGGGACAGTGAAGGGAATTAGAAGAGATCTTAGAACCTTTTCCTTTTCTTAGTGTGATGCTTTACTTTGATTCCTAAATGCCAAATCCATAATCAACTACTTTTCTAAAATAGATAATCTGCTTCTGGGGGGCATAGGGATAAAACGAGAAGAAGAATGGGCTAGCTATGTATAAATAAATATTTTGGTTGTTGTATTACAATCCTAGGTGTTCAGAGCCATTAGCCAGGCTGTAAGAATCTTGACAGTGGAAATGAAAGTTGTTCACTTTTTTTGTGTTTCCTGAACATTTAGGAAGCAAAGTCATACTTTTTGGCTTTTCGTTGCAATCATGAAGACTACAAATTCTTTTTAAAAGGTATTTCTACATATATTTTATAACATGGCTCCTCAAACTCAGAGAAAGAAGCTAAATATTTTAAGTTTTGAGTAAATTGTAGGACATGGCAAAACCTGTGAAGAATCGCCTGAGCTTATCATATTTTCTTTCCATCACTGCTGTTTGTATCTTCTCTACACACAGAGAAGTTTATTAGTGCTGTGCATGCTCTCATAGCTGGTGCTCTCACTGCTCACACCCTTGAGGCTGCTTTGTACATTGGCTTCATTCTTCAAGTCATTTGTTTTGCTGCCTACTTATAACAGTTATAACAAAGACATGCAGAAAATAATACAAAATGTAGACATTTAATTCAGGAAATCCAAACTCCTGAAATGAAGCACTGCTGTTAATACATTAGAAAGAGGACAAAGCTAAGGAGTACAGCAGGCATAACTTATTTGAATGATAGCATTTCTTTCTGTTTTGTTAAATTCATACCCAGAATATTCTCTTCTATATAATTCATACCACAGGTATGTTGCTGCTCCCCTGAAGGAGGGTTGGTTCTACATCAATTTCAAATTGTTTTTCATGCAGCACAATAACTACCAGGTCCTTCCTTCACTGGAAAAACCTGTTCCGTGGGCACTCCTGTTCCTCATAGTTACATGCAGAGTCAGAGAGGCCATGAAGAATCTTTTGCTGGCCATGGTTTGTATATAAAATGTGTCCTTGGTGACAGTTTGGATACCTTGAACTATTTCTAGAATTTGTTTGGTTTAGAAAACAAGGTTGTTTTTTTTTTTTTTTAAATCATTACTCCTGGGAAAAAAAAAAAAAATCCTTCTGATTATACTCCCTCTATAAGTTGGAAGACTTTCTGCAAGATCACTGCAAGCCATTCAGGATTAAATCAAGGCTTATTATACTGTTATCTTCAATACTTACTCAAATGTTGCAAATACTCCCTTTTAACACAGGAGCATCTCATCTATCAAACTGAGCCACTTAGGGAAGTGAGGTGGAGCCCAGGTCTCTTTCTGTGGGTTCTTCTTTCACTTTATTATGGGGAATAATTACCACTTGTCCATCCTCATAATTTTCCCGACAGTTTCCCTACAGACGAACACCCACTGTCTATGATGAAAGAATTGGAACAGCTTATCCCACTGCCACTGACGTGAGAACTTCAGCAATACACCTAAGGTCACGGAGTTAAGGGCATAATCTGAGCTTTTGCAGTGGCTTACGCACGTGAGTATTAATCCTTGCAGCAAAGGCATATCCTAAAGTAGGAGAGTGAAATTCTCCGTATAAAATCTCAAAATTTCCTGATAATTTCCATCCTCTCTTGAAATAGATCCTCTTGAAATGTTAGCTTGAAAAAAAAAAAAAATTATAAGCCTAAAATGCATGTTTCCTCATTCTCTTCCTCCTTGACTTCAGTTGGTTGTGCAAAGGCTATCACATTTTTTTTCAGGCTGTGCTATGCATACAGTACTTGAGGCCTATTTATGCCTCATATTACAAACAGTACAGATGCTGCTGTCAGATTATATTGTTGTGTGAAACCTACCATAGGATCACACAGGTTTTATTTTAAAACACTGAATATAAACATCACTTGATCCAGACTACTCTGGAGTCAAAGTTGAGATTGCAAAGTTACAGAAGGAGCTAAATTCATGCAAGCAGCTGTGTACAGAAGTCTGCAATGCAGTTTTGAATTGAGTTTCAGAACTGCCTAGTCATCATAAGAGATTTTGGATTGATGCAGATTGATTAACAGCATTCTACAATCCACTTTTGCTAGATTCCCATGAGGATCACAATTTCATTTTCTGAGAGATCAAATAGCTGCTAGAAAAAGCTTGTCTTACCCCAAGCTCACCAGTGCTTTGGAGGTGAAAAGGAAGAAAAACACAGAAGAAAATATATTCTGTCCTACTCTGATATGTAACTGCTGGCATTAACACTGTTCCTCTCCTCTCCTCTCCTCTCCTCTCCTCTCCTCTCCTCTCCTCTCCTCTCCTCTCCTCTCCTCTTCTTATTAAATTGGAAACTTTCCAGCGAATATCAGTATTAGTTGCATCAAGTGTTTCCCCATACAAAAAGCTACTAAGAACTGATTTAATATCTTTATTTCCAGACTTAAAACCCAAACAGCAGCAGGTTCTCTAATTTAAGCTCCAAATTATCTGACAACAATGACAAAAAGCAAGTCTGGAACAGAAAATTTCCAAATACATAACAGAAATCAACTGCACTTCGTTTATTTGTTTGCTTGTTTTGGGACTTCTTTGAGCACTCCTATAGACACAATTAGGAAAAAAAAAAAATGTAACTGGAAAGAAATAAGAGTACTTTAGAATAATATTGCAATTTCATGATTTTAAGACTTCTAAAATTACAGTCTGTCTGTGTCCAGCTATTGTAAACAAGTTTCTATCCTGCAGTCTCCTTGAACTCACCACCCGTTTGCTTTCTGCTCTCCTAGTATTGTTTTCACCTAGTTGTTTTGTTTGTTTGTTTGACTTTTACTTCTCACCCCTCAATAATTTCTTCCCTTAAGTTTCAAACTTCTCTATTTCTAGTCCTTACTTTTCTTGCTGCTAACATGCTTCCCTCATATACCCAGTGCAGCAATATTCTGCATTGCTTCCACAATTCATTCCTACCACTGAGCATGAACACAGGCTCATGTTTCCTACTTTTCTCCTGAGGAGGGAACCATCTCGGGTCCATCTTACAGATCTCCTTCACACAAAAGAACTTCTCTCTACTAGAGAAAAGGCTCTCTGGGATAAGGCTGACCCTAACTATGCAAAGCACTTCTGGATCTTAGATATTTTGCTAATGGAGGGAGGAAATGTCATCTCTGCATCTTTAACCTCTATAGTTTTTTTGATAGTTTAAAATAGCCTTAACTAGACATACCAAATAAATGTTATACTTCATTTTTACAGCAGGTCCTTAGATTTGTTTTCTTTTCGTACCTAGTCATCAAACACAGAGTCATGTGTTCAAGATGTGTGATGATAAAAGATTCTGCTTTAGGCCAGCAAGTTTTCTTCCTTCCTCTTGACACAGAATTGCTTACGCATGTGAATCCTAACGCCTTAGAAAACCAGGGAAGGACAGAAGACACATTTTTGTTCTGTGATACAGAAACCCCATAATTCAAAATCCTCTCTTTGCTACTCTTCAAATGTTTTGTATCAGTTAACCTTGTTGCTGGAATAACTTGTACAATTACTTTACACATAGAACTAAAGCAAATATGCTTAGTTGCCTGTAGGGTTTTAACAAAAACATGTTCATCTGTCTTCTGACACTTCCCTATCAACTGGCTTTGGATAACTCTAGTTCCAGCAGTGCTCTATAAGCAGATTGTGATTTGTAAGGACAAATCATTGGTAGTCTTTTCAGAAGTCTGGAGATCTCCCGAATGCAGAAGTTTTCTTTATCACATTTTGTACCAAAACAAACTATAAAGAGATGGAGTTCTGTTCTCACAAAATATTTATTTCTGTGATAATAAAGAAATATGTTTTTCTTCTCTTTCCTTACACCTCTTAAGAGGTGTGAGCAGAATTGCATTTATTCATAGGGATGCACATAGCGAGTACTGGGTTAGTTACACAGAACATGTCATATTTTGTAAACTCCTTAAATCTTTACATTTGTTACAAAAATAATGTTCAGTGAGTAAATTACAATTAATTGAAATGAGTCTGGAATGAACTGAATTGCTGCACTGGAGCTTCAGAAAGCAAATTTACATCTGCTTCCACTGAACATTTTCTTTTATTTTTTCCTTTTGTACTTAGAATTCTCATCATGTATGTTAAGTACACAGGTGTTGATTAACAGATTGCAAGAGAGACATGGAAAACATCTTTATAAACATACAGAACAAAACAGTTTGAGTGGCAATTTATGGTTTGTTTTCCAATTAGGAATGACATTTAATTTTCAGAGTGGAACTGTTTTTAAGGTAACATTTTGTTGGTGTGTATGCCTACTACTGTGACTACCAACTGTAATTTTCAGGATTTTAGGCACTGTGTTGACTACCTGCTCACAGCTTTAATATATAAGCCTGTACTTACTGTGATGAATGACACAAGCCCCAAATTAGTCATGGTTCCAGTTTTTATGTACTCACAGGTTATTGAGGAAGATGTAGGTTTCAGTTTTCCACCGACTTCACTAGTATTTGAGGTAGATCAAATTTTTTAAACTGCTCCAGCTGTGTGAAATATCTCACAGAAATAAAACTACATCTGTGTTGTTAACATCTTGCAAATCAGAGGCCTGCAGCAATGGCTACATGCTTAAGTTAACCTGGGACAAATTGACGCTGTCTTCCCATTTGGCCAATTGCTCACTGCCATCATCTTCCTTGTGCTGGCAAGAGCACTGAGGCTTCCAAGAGGGTGCAGTCAGGCGAGTCTGAGATTGCAGGCCACCCTCTTGACAGCAGCAAGCATTTTGTCACATACAGCTGGAAGTATAATCATGTCTAATCATGACCTGATTCTACAAAACTGTCAGTTCAAGCTTTGCATCTTGAAAGACTGCACATTTTAATCATGTTATAAGATACTAAGTACAGAACACGAGGCATATGGAGAAAAGTATCTACTTTCGCTTAAGTATGATACAGCTGACAGTAGTACTGAAGGTAAACAGTGATGGGGGAATTAGTATGTTGTGGTTGTACTTTTTATGCGATATCAAAAGCAGGTGTGCCACAAAGTAAAGGGTAAAGGACAGAGAAGAAGATGGTTTCCTGTTTTGTTTTCCAAAAGCTATTGAATTTGACATACTTGAATGTTTTTACAGTGCTTTAGGTAAGCTTATGGTTTCGTGAGTTATGCTCTGTGTTTTAGGGCTGGAGCTTTGAACTTTGGCATGTTGTATCATATTAGTGCTTATTACAGACCACTGTGATGTTATTTGACAAATAAGTAATTTTTATGCTTGGACTTGCATACAATCAAAGTTTATTGCTAGGACTGCAAAAATAATCTTTTTTCCTGTAGAAGCTTAATGCTATAGTTAAACTTTGTTTTTCATAAGCTGTAGGGAAATTTTCCAAATGAAATAAATAGTCAGCTGATCTTTTTATACCTGCTGTTGAATAACAAGCAGATTACTAGTGAACTTTGTTTTAAACTGTATTTTTAACTTGATTCTTATGTGATATCAAAGTTGTGTGTACGGGTGCACGTATATGTGTGTGGGTACGCATGCATGTTTATCTTTCTGTTTTCCATTAATAACTTTCAGCCCTTAGGCTAATTCCAACCAAATTAACCTAGGAATAGAGTTCTAAAAATAAATATGTTCCTACAAGGCTTGGAAAATAGCCAAGTAAAAGAAGGAAATCTCGTCAGTGTCCTGATTATAGGAAAGGTTGTATTGTAAGTGCACATATTGACACTGGAGAGTCTGCCTACAGAGCAGCCTGCATAAAAGTCTGAGATGTGGGAAAAAAGGCAGTTTCTTGGTCAACGCCTAAACTGTATGGTGCATGTTTGACACACTCAACATTCACGGCTGTCTGGTTTTATGTCTTCTTTCTTTGCCATTCCCAGGAGTATTTCCAAATCCTCCATTCAGATGCTACTCTTCATGCTGAAGACAAATGGCTCTGGAATACTCAGCTTCATGAAACTGCTTATTAAAGAGTGTTATAGGATACTTTGTGCCTGCAGCCAGACTGTGTAGCTGTTTATCACTTGCAAACAGTAGGGCCAGAAGGGAAAGCCTGCTGCAGAAATTTTTATCTTGCCCTGCTACCCTGTCTTCCCTCCTTTGCAGTCCCTCTAGGTTTGTAGAAATGCTCTGTAATCAGACAGCTAGCCAAACTAATCTCAAGAAAAAATTGCAAATGCTTTGCTCTCCATTTTCAAAGGTGAAGTCACAGATCAATCTACCTGGGCAAGCTAAGTGCTTCACTGGAGTGCATGGCTTACATGAACTTGAAGTGCATGAAACTCTACAGGATGTGTTCCACTTGATATTTTACAACTTTTTTTCTCATTAGTTTGATGCTCCAATGCAAAATATTATGTGGCATTATAAAAGTTTATCCTGTCTTGTGAGTCTCACGGGTCACACTTTGGTCAAAGTTCTTAAATGTACTTATTCTTATGTGATCTTGATTGTCTTTAAAAAAGGACACAAGCTCTGTAATTTTGTGACTGGCAATAAAACTTTGAATATCTGACCCAGTAACCAAGAAGCAAAACAAAATAAAGGAAAATGCAACAGTAATCTCAAACTGTAGACCACTCTCATGATTTCAATGCATGATTTTTAAGGTCGTTGTACTGTCCCTGCATAGCAATAGTATATCTTGACAAAGAAGGCAAAAGGGGCCACTCAGAATCTGCACAGGAATGACACCACTACAGTCTTGTTTTCTTTTCTGTTTGTTTTCAGTTGGCTATGAAAGGTACTCTCCTTTTGGCATACACTATATACCTCCATGATAAAAATGTATCGTAAGTTGCAATGTGGTCTTTTCTAGTTATCATGTATGCAAACATATTCAGAATGTGTGACGAAGAACCAACATATTCTTCTCTATTAAGATACTTAGTATAGAAACTGGGAGATTGTCTTACTGTATTTCTTATTTTAATTGACAGATATTTGGTTTCTAGAAGATTTTCCAGGTCCTACAGGGCTCAGAAAACATCAGATATTTACATGCTTATGCCTTTTAAATTAATTATGGAGGATGTTTTGGTAAATAATCGCCATCCCTGTATCAAAATTTCACTTTAAAGGTAAATAGCAGTCAAAAATAAGTAGGTCATTTTGGCCTCTTTTGTCATTTGCCTATATAAGAATTTTAATTATTTTTAATGTATATTTTCTAGGATACTGATATTTCTAAACTAGTTTACTGCAGAAACTCATACAAAAGACCATTAATATATAAGTCAGAGTTCAGTTCAAAACCTCAAGTTTCCTTGAATATGTTCCAAAGTGTGATCATAAAGACGTAAAAACTTCAGTGTTATAACTGAATATGCATCTACTTAAATCCATGGCTAAAATTCACTATGGCAAAAAGAGGCTTTATTGAAGATACAGCTTCTTGCTATTTCACTAAACGTATGAGATTTCAAAATAAAGCATTGTAGGGCCTGTCCATAAAACTAAACTTAATGTTCTTCATGTCTTTTGTTTTATTTTTGTCTTTGAAAGTACCATTAGTAATGTCCCTCTTCTCTGGGTGTCATTTTTTTCCACTAAACTTGAGGACATACACTGACTGTGAAGCCTCAGTGCCTTTTCTGCAGTTGTTGTTACTAGATTGCAAGCTACGGGAAGGGGAACAGAACAATGTCACAACCCTCATTTTCTGAGGAAAGGACATGCACAAAAAATGAGCCAAAATCAAGTTTAAAAAATTCGAATTTCCTTTTGATTTTCTTCTGCATTTTCTCATGCAACTTTGTGAGAAAGCACAAGTAATTCTGTGCATCTTTTATTTAAAGCCCTTAGTGTGTATTCAGCATAGTGTGTAGCTCACAAAGTCATACTGGACTACTTACATGATTCTGAATTAGTATGAAAGTAGGAGACCAACAAATGCAGAAGAAGAACAAGCTTCTGAATCAGTATTTCCAACGTGAAGTCAGATCATATTCCCCAGATAAGTATTCAGGGATGACCCTTTATGTATAGCTGCAAAGCTGTAATACAATAGGCTCTCCATTTCCACGGTAATGCAGTCCTTAGATTTTGAGTGTGGGGTGTCAGCAATGAGCATTTCAATTGTGAAGTTTATTCTACATGCCTCTGTCAATCCAATTATAATTATGTTTATTCATGAAAATCTGTAGCAGTTTCTACATTAGTGCAGAAATACCTTAAGATTTGTCATTTTGCCAACTTTATAACAATCCATCTGAATTTCCTTTCTTAATCACGTTGTCTTCTTTCACTTCCCCATATGAACCTAGTAGACCTAACTGATACTTTTTATCTTCCAGAGTAGGGATGGCTCTACATTCATGCTTAGCTTAAAAACTGACTAAAAATTAAAAATAAAATTCTGCAGAAGCTAGTAACAGATGCTTACCTTTACAACATAATTTAAAATTCAGAAAGTGTAGCTATTACAGTTGCTATCAAACAGACAAAAATAACAAAATAGAACTATCATTATAAACTTTAGGACAAAATGTTTTTAAGAGGATTGTTTCGTACAAGGTCTGTTTGGCTGAACATTGCATTCTCTGCTGCAAGGCAGATAATACCTTACAGGGAAGAAGTGACACAATATTTGCCTGGCTAGTCTTACGAATGTTTACAAATAAATATCTACATTCAATTGTCTTTTTAGGATTGTTTTCTTCCCGAGAAGATATCAAGGGACTTTTGGTTCTTTAATCCTATCAGTTGCCTTTCAAGGCAACATTTTTGAGTTACTTTTTTCAGCAAGATAACTGTAATTCTTTAACCAGGGCAGTTCTCCTGGCAAATGCAGACATACTCCATATCTAGGCCTTGAGTGCAATAAGGGGCTGTAATTGCCAGGAGAGGTCTCACCTGGAACCTTTACCTACATAGCTGCTACTGGTCCAGGCCCTCCATTCAAGTTCTAGCTCAGGCCATTAAATCTCTTTGCCTGAGTTATGTTGCAAGTGCACTTGTTTTCAGTTCTATTTGTTGAGATGTTTTATTTTTTTTCCTCCCATTTTTGCTCTGCCTGCCTTGTAGTGAATTGGTTGGACCATGCCTTGTGGGTGAAGTACTGCTTGTGCTGTGCTCATCCTCAGCTACTTGGCTCATTGAATAGCCCTGCTATCACTGCTTCTTAACTTTTTATGGCTCAGTCTGCTGACTGTAACTTCCTGGCTTGCATTTTTTCTTTCTTAGAATACAAAGTCCATCTATAAAAGGAAAAGGTGTTAAACTTTCCTCTTAGGTTTCATTATACCACTTAAAAATAGGAAGAAGGGGCATGCTTCCAATTTGGGAAGAGCATTGTGAGTTTTCTGCTTATCTAAGAAGTTGCTGATACACATAGAAATCTCAGTAGACTTAGCCAGTAACTTTTCTTTCCTTACTTAGTAACGATTACTCATATATTTATTTCAGTATCAGTTTAATATGCTGTTTCTTTTTTCAAGCCTATTACTATATATTGAACAAACTGGAAAGTATTTTGCAGTGGAGTGATTGCATAATGTACAACTTCTGTATGCCAGAAACAACAAGTGTTCATTTTGGCTTGCTGACTTCATTAAGTGTGTATAACACTAAAAGAAAAATGCGGCATAATGTTGTTCTATCTCTTACTTGAAATTTAACTCCTTTACCATTAACTGTATAGATGCAGAGTTATGCCAAAATCAACAGTTCTCTCTGCATGCTACCAACCCATTTCTCTTGAAGTTCTCTTGCTTGACACTTCAGATTAGAGCTAATAAAACCATTTCTCTCTGTAGAAGTGTGTGACAAATCTATTGCATGATCTAAATTACCACAGCAGCTGTGGGGAGAAGGAAGCAATGTGAGTGAAGCAAGCAAGACCATGGCTTGCTGGAAAAATCAAGGGTATTGGATGATTCCTTGTGTTTTAAAATGTCTTGGGTGTTTTGTCACCCACTGACGGATGAAGTTGGTTTTATACTGGGGCTATGATTGGTAGTACTGATATTTTTATGTTCTGCAAGAAGTGCTGGAGAACACAGTGTAAACTTTTATTGTGGAATGCGCTAGAACATAAGATGAATTTACCACTTTGGGAAAGCAAATGAAATTGCTGAGCCTAATTTACTTGGAGGGTGGTGGGGCACTGGTGCAGGCTGTGCAGGCTGCCCAGATAAGCTGTAGATACCCCACCTATGTAAGAGTTCGAGGTCAGGTTGGATGGAGCCCTGGGCAGCTTGATCTGGAGGGTAGAAACCCTGCCCACAGCAGAGGAGTTGGAACTAGATGGTCTTTAAGGTCCCCTCCAATCTAAGACAATCTGTGATTCTATGAATCATTGATGAGACAGAGAGTGGAGCTCTACTTCCATAGAAGGGCTCTGTAGATGTCAAAGATGTCACAGATGGATCACTCTAGTGTGAAACTTAAAGGTTAAAAGACCTGGAAAAGGACTTTTAAGACCTGAGAGGAATGCTTTCCTGGGGAACAGCTGAGAACTGCAGCTGAATGTCCAAGAATGATAATTTAAAAGGTGTTTTACACATCCGCTCTCCAGGGAATGGTGTAACTCCATGTAATAGTCTTTTAACTGTTTGCTTTGTGTACAGCAATTCTGAACCTGTGAAATGCCAGGCAAGGGCTGGGAAACATGATTGCTCTGTTTCTAAGAAAACTATCTTAATTACTGCTAAACACTGTCCTCAATGGCTTGGTTCCATTCTCCAACCCAGACAGGCCCATGGCCCTTGCTAGCACTACTGGGTGCTGTGCATCAGCAGGACTGCCGCCCTGGAGCAAGCTGCCCAGCCTTCCCTCTGCCTCCTGGGTCTCTTTACTCCACGCCTCTCCTCCCCCAGGCCAGGGCAGCTCAGGAGTACTGTATTGACCTGGTAAAGTCAGGAATACTTTACTCATTGGTGCCTGAAGAAAAAAAGCTTGACTTTGCTTATTAAGTTACATATAAGAACTTCTGTCCTTAAGCAAGGATTCTGTCCAAGCTAATACTAAATTCTATCTGTCTTTGAAACATGCACTGAAAGTGTTAGAATTTCTGAAGGTTTCAAAGGAATGTGTGGCTATATATATATTCAGATTTTGTTTCCTTCATTGTAGTCTTTGTCTTTGAGCCATTCAGCGACACCTGAAATAAGAGCAGGTTATTAACTGCTGCTTAGAGTTTAGCTCTGCAATTAGACTTCCAAATTGCAATAAATGAATTTCTGATGCCAAAGACATAGTCAGTGAACAAACATTTCTGTTCAGTGCAGCGTTGTCTCAAATGTCACATGCATGATATCATTCTTCCTAAATGAAGTTGGCAAAGTGTATACCTTGTGGATCAACTCAGCTTCCAACTTTGACAGCTGTCAAACTTAAGATAATGGTAGTTTTGTCGGTATTTTTTATTTTATTTCCCTTTTATTCCTTAGATATGACTTGCAAGAAATGTTTAATGCCATTTTGTCCATATCTGATAGCTAAATACACAGCAAAGCACGGATTGTATTTGGCAAGAAAAGGCAGGGATATTTCACCATTTCTTTTCCCAAATGGGACTCAATTTCAAAATTTCACAGAC